AAGGGGTGCCATCACAGCAACATTATACATGACACACTGTTGGAAGAGATCTGCGACAGATTACATTCACACCATGCCAGGAACACACTGCTGACCACAGGCCATCTGAATCCTCTCTCTCTCTCTACAGTCTCCAGGGTGAGTGAAACTCGGAGGCGGGCAGAGGAGTGCAGTGTGTTGTTTCAAAGTTTCTCATGTACTTCCGCGCCTGGAGAGAAAGAAAAAAGACAGCGGGCATGGAGGAGGAATAGACAATGAGAGGTGTGGGAGGGAAATGAACAAAAAGTGCACAACTTGATATATATATTAGGTTCCTTTACAAACGTCTCCCGTCCTCTTAAGGCTTCACACAGGAGGAAATATCCAGGGACCCAAAGCATAGCATTAGCTGTAATTGATGGCAGTGCTGTTGTTTGTTAAATGACTTCAATAAGCTGAGCGCGGCGAAATATATTACTGCAGTCAACCAGAGAGCACAGGTGAGCCGGTTGCTATGGAGACAGCTATAGTGAGCCTCGGTAAGGAAACGCTGTGAGTGAATAGCTGTGATGTGTTTTCTTTAAACGAGAAAATTGGAGTAAAGGAAATTAGACTTGGCATGGTGTGATAAAGAGATCGGGTTTCTGCCCTTTAAACCCAACGGGAAAGAAACAACAGGTGAGATTAAAGTGCATCGATAACAGAAACCTTACCAAGAAAAGAGCAAGCTGCCTCCTTCCCTCCATTGCCATATCCTCACCTGGAACAAAACATAACAGAGTGTGTGTGTGAGGCCTTGTTAAAGAACTGTGAAGTACACCATGTCGGGGGGGAATGTACATTGTTGCAGAGAAAGACAAAAGAGTAACATATTAAAGGGGCCCTTTACTGTTACATGTTACAAGCTATAGAGGAACTCCCTCTGGAGGGGATTTAGTCTTCACAGACCATAAACCTATACAACAAACTACAGGAAACAGAAAACCCCCAAAAAGCATAATGTGGCCTCTTTAAAAAAGACACAAGCACACCATAAAACATCTTAATCCTGTAGTAACAATTGTAAAAAACAAAATATTGCACATAGGTGTTATAGTCCGCCTGTACGTGGGTAGTATTTCGTCGGCAGTTTGTTTGACTAGTAAATGAGAAAGGACCTGAGGGGCTTACCAACACTCCATGGAAACAAAACATCTCCTTCAGCCTGATAGGACTGCAGCACAGACACACACCAGTCATCGTCCACCTCGTAGCCGCTGTACACCGACGCTGAGAGAGGACATGTTCCCGCATTAGACACACAACATAATGCATTCAGATCCTGATGTAAACACGTTATTAATGGTTCAGCTAAGTTTTGAGGTGGTGGAAAGGAACCAAGTACACTAACTCACTTACTGGGCTTAAGTAGATTTTTTAGATACTTGTACTTTATTTGATTATTTTCATGTTATGCTTCTTCATACTCCACTGCAATTTGGAAATACATATTGTACTTATTACATTTATTTGACAAGGTGAGTTACTTTGCAGCTTCATATTTTTTTAACAATAATTCAATTGACGAATGACTTGCAGTATAAAAAGTAAACTCAAATGGTTTTCCATTAATGGATCTTTAATAAGGAACCAGTGATAGAATATGTACTCGGCCAAAATGGCAATTGTAAGTACTTTGCTTTTTGGTACTTTCACTGAAGAAGGATTTTGAACGTCAGACTTTTATTTGACTATTTCTTAACTGTGTTATCGTGACTTTTACTTAAATAAAATATCTGGCTACTTCTTCCACCTCTGGTAAACAGTGTAATGGCGGTCACACTTACCTTCTTCTATGGGATTGGAGGACCCCAGCCATTGTCTTACAACTCGAACTCCTTCTTCTGTCATTATTTTTGGATACCTAAGCAGGGAAATGACGTCACTCAACTCCAGTACTTCCTGTATACACTGATCTTATCCAACAATGAGAATACTGACCTGAACTGCAGCAGTTTGAGCAGCAGGTCATTGCCTCTGTTGGACATCACGTCCTCTGGACCCCTGCAACACACAGTGAGCAGATTCATGTTATAAATAGAGTCAGTGGTCCAGTTACCAGGTCAACTGAGTGAATGCCTCCTCCTACCTCTGCGCTAATTAAGGAGTCACTTAACCCTCAAGATAATGTGTTGTTCAATGTAGATGATTCAAGTGCTGGGAAGGTAGGTGTGTGTGTGTGTGTGTGTGTGCGTGCGCGTGCGTGCGTGCGCATCTGGACCAGGGATGGGCAACTTGGATGGTGGTGGGGGCCACATCATTTATTTTTTCTCCGTAAGTTTTTCCTTGTACGATGTGAGGGTCTAAGGTCAGAGGGTGTCGTTTTCTCATACTGATATTCTGCATAAACTGTTCTGTTGTATTTGCTGTATAGTGTCCTTACTGTAAGGTAATTATTATATGTACAGCACTTTGGCTCGACCAAAAATCGTTTAAAAAATGTACTTGATGGCCACCAGGGGAACACACACACACACACACATTCCATGTATTGTTTGTAATTATTAACAAATATTAAGTCTGACATCTTCATTGACATTTTAAAATCAAAGGGAACATCCTCTAATAAGCTCACTAAATAAATATCAGTTCACAGAAATGTTATTTAATTTTTACGAGTGGCATGTGTGTATTGAACAAGTTATTAAACAGAGGAATAAAACTATTTTAAACTGTTGGAAAGCACGGAAAATGTGTGTGCATTGAGATGAGCCATTAAGATGACATACACATGAAGTCATGAACACTAACCCAGACATTAGTTGTCTAACTTGAACCTAAGACACTTGGTGTCTCAATAAGGGGAATGTCAACACAGACACCTGTCAACCTGCACTCTGCTGTTCCTCACACCACTCCCCCGTCCCTCCCGCTGACATTATGAATGAAAAGCGTAGTAATCATAGATAACACAGCAGGGTCGGTGACAGTTTGTTTTCATCTGATTTCAAATAAACAAAGTCTTGGTTTTAAGAATACTAAACTTGTTTCGCCAAATTCAGATGATAAATACAACTTTTGAGCTTGTAAAGGCATAATTACAAGAGGCAAAACGTCACAGCAGGCATAACAACAGCCGGTGTTTCTTGTGAGGGTTTCCCCGGGAAACAAACAAAATACACACAAATGCGTCACAGATTATTTCGCGGTATTTGAAATCATGTACACAGCTCGCGACGTAACTAGGTGTCTAGTGGGCGGTATCAGTACTACAAGTAAAAAAATTA